TTCCTCAGGATGAAGGAACACCTGCACCAGAGTCACAGCTGTGGAGGGTGGCGTGTTCGTTACAAACGCAGCTTAGCCTGCGTCTGACTCAAGGCGCAGCTCCCAGCAGGATGCCCCTCACTCCAGCACACAGCGTGGGGGCTCCCTCCCTGCCTCAGTGCCTCCATCTGTGAGTTCAAGGGTTTTGGGGAGCCTGGGGAGAGATTTGCTGGTTTGTCTCACCTGTTGGGGAGACCCCAGCCCCTCTCTTCGTAGCACTTGTAGGAAGTGCTAACCTGGAGGCCTGTGAGTGTGGGCGTCCTTCCTGGGCTGACTGGCAGTTTCCAGTGGCTGAGTTTCCTAATGGCTGCCCATCACCTGATCCCCGACTTCGGCAGCGAGGGACCGAAGCAAACACTACAAGGCTGGTTTAGCGTTCTCCCCTGCCTTAGTGGTTAGCCGAATCCAGAGCTCTCAGATAACCCATTAGGCAGCCCTGTGTTGCAAAAGGAGGTGTGGGTCTGGAGCCAGAAAACCTGTGTGTGGTTCTGCTCCATGTTAACAGTTGTAGGGGCCACGGGAAAGCTTCCTCTTCACCCCTGAAGGTTCACTAAAGCCCACTGACCAATTCAGATTCACGCGAAGAAGAGGCATAACAAATTTTATTATTTTAACTTGCTGGGAGGGAGTGGGGGAATCTCAGGAGAGTGATTGCCCTATAACCCAGGGGGTACAGGAGATTGTACCCAGTACCTCCTGGAGGCGAGATGGGGAGTGTAGACCACTCTTCTGAGGGACAGTTTGAATGAGACTGAGAGGCAGATATTATCTTGTGAAATGGTCTGTTCAGGGGTGGTGACCTCACAGTCCCTCCAGACCCTTGTAGGGGTAAGGGGGTTGTCTTTCCTGGTTATCTGATGAGATTCCAAGGTGGGGATCTTAAGACAATTGCATCTCTTTTGGAAAGAAGCTTTCCTAGTCAGATAAGGCCATTCCAGAGAAAGTCCCTCTGTGCTTGGGGTGAGGGAAGCAAGACAAGGTTTGAGGGACCTTGATTCTAAGGCTTATTTCTGAGGCTGTTTAATTTTCAAAGCACTGAACATGCCATAGTATCATATTTTGGGGAATAGTTTTCTGCACCCCAACACAGGTTAAACCAACAGTTCTCAGTCAGGGTAATTTTCCCCCAGGGGACGTGTGGCAGTGTCTGGAGACATTCGGGATTGTCACAACTGAGGGCTGGGGCATCTAGTGGATAGAGGCCAGGATGCTGCTGATCACCCCACCATGCACAGGGTGGTCCCCACAACAAAGAGGTATCTGGCCCCAATGTCAATAGTGGTGAGATGGAGAAATCCTGTTGTAAACTTAGGCCTCAGTTTCTCCATCTGTAAAATGGAGTCAGTCTAGATCAGTGATTTTCAAACTGAGTCATCAGCCATGGGTCCTAAAATTAATTTAATGGTTGTAACCAGCATTTAAAAAGATTAAGTACAAGAGAATGGAAAACCTTGGAAAATATCAGCGTGCATCGCACATGGTAAGAGTAAATATTATGTGAAGTGTGTGTGGGGGTATGTGTATTTTGGGTCATGAAATAAATTGTTCTTACTATGCTTTCTGGCAAAAAAAGTGTAAGAACCACTTGTTCTAGATGATTTCCAAGATCTTCCCCACTGCCATAGGATGTTTCTCTAAATCGCAGACTTCTCTTGGGCACACTTTCAAAAATTCCCTTGCCAGCCCCTTGTCTTGGGTGTGGATTGACTGCTCTTACAGCCGCCTTAGCCGTCCAGGGTTGGGAATTCCACAGGCTCGGAGCAGTTCAGTCCTCACTGAAGGTAACAACACCAGCCCCCCCGTCCCTAGACTCCTATTTTAATTTGTCTTTGGTGGGCGGGTGGGTGGTGATGGTTACCATGGCCTAAGTACCCACTTCAGGATCCCAAGTCCCTGCAGTAGGTGAGCATCCTGGGGCAGCTGGCCCTGCCTCCCCGGACTGGCAGCCCCTGGGGTGCTGTTCAGCACCTGCCTCCTCGAATTCCTAATGCTGACATCTCCCAGAACCACCCAGAGCAAGCTCTTCAAATACTTAAAACAGCACCAGGGCCTGAGTACCACCTCTGCCATCACTCTCTAGCTCCATGAGGATGGGCAAGTTACCCCAGTTTCAGCCACCTGGGTAGCTGAATGGGTCGGGTCCTCCATCATTACGTGAGCAGGGCTGGGACTCTCATACCTCCCACACCTTTCTCCTGGTTCCCTCTTGTTTGATTTTCGCTTCTGCTGAATTCCCGGCTTGTTCAGCCCTGCAGGCCCTACTTTTCCGCCTTACAGTGATAGTGACCTTTGGGCTTTCCTGTGGCACCTGCTCAGTCAGCCCGGACTCTTGTAGAATGAGTGAATTGTTAGGTGATAATACATCTCAAAAGGCTTGAAGGGCTGTAGATCGCAGCTGTGGGGCCTGGCTCACCCCAAGCTGCCTGGTTGCCTTGAAGCATTCCCTACCCACCTCCAGCCACACATTCCCTGACCGACCTGTTCCCAGACACCCTTTCTGAATCCCCATGAGAGGGAGAGCCAGCGAGGAGAGGCCCATGGGATTCCTTTCCTGTTTCCAGATGGGAAGCCACCTGCTGTCCGAGCTGCCCAGTGAAGCAGGACAGAGCTGCCTGTGAGACTGGGGATGGGGGGGAGGGTCACACCGATGAGGAGACAGGTGTTTTGGTCACAGGGACATGGAGACCAAGGCCTCTTGGGCTCATCTGTACCCCTCCAGTAGTGAGGGCCTCTCCTGTTCCAGTGGGTGTCCAGTGAGGAGGTGTCCAGTGCATCTGTGCCCTGTCACACTGGCTCATCCCAGGCTGGTGTGTGGTGCTCAGAGTGGAGCCCCAGGAGGGACTGAAGAAGGGCTTTGGTCTTGGGCCCCTAGCAGGTGCCGAGGGGCCTGGAAGGCTCCCAGGCGGGACTGAAGCTGGAGGTTGTTGCCAGACTGTCGCATTTGTTTGCTTTTTCAGCATTTTATTGTGGAAATTCTTAAACATACGGAAAAGTTGAAAGAATACAACATCCATATACCCAACAGCACATTTTGCCATTAATGTTTTACTCTGCTTACTCTGTCAGCCATCTCTCCAGTTCTAATGGTTTTTCTTTGGCTGATTTCTGGCTGTCAGAAAGTTCGTTTGACTCCTAAAGATTTGCTTGCTGCAAAAGCTGTGGAAACGCAGAGCAGGCAAGGCTCCCAGCTCAGACGCGACCACACCCCTTTAGCTTGGTTAGTGTCTCCTTTCCCCCCCCCCGCGCAGTGTGGGGCTGGAGCTCTGCAGAACGTAGTTCGTGGACTGTGGGTGGTCTGCGAGACTTTCCTGGTGGTCGCTGTGCTGCTAACGGCATGTCATCCAAGCCTCTATTCGTAGAATGAGCCGGTTATTTACAAGGAACAGCCCTCACTCAAATCTCCCAGAAACACGTCTATTTTCTGCTTGTTCTTGTGGGTTAGGAGTGTTTGCATGTTTGAGGGTGTGTGTGGACCAGGTGGCCATTGTCCTCCAGCAACCTCGGTCCAGCTCAGACCCCCGCTGGGGGACTCCTCCTCTGCCCAGCTGGCTCCCTTTATCATGGCCCCGGCTGTGGCAGCAGCGTCACATCAACTGACCTTACCGAGCTTTCTGGGCTTGGTTCCACAGACATCCTGGCCTCCTTTTCACTGAGGCGCCAGAGCGCACAGTCCCCCACCCTCCTAGGAGAAGATCTACTTCCTCGTCGTTATGGCCAACCTCCCCAGCTGGGTGCCATGCCCCTTTCCTTCAGGACCCCCAGGGCACCGGGCCCACACTTGAGCTGTTGTCTTCACTGGCTGCCCTCTGTCTTCCCTACTTCCATTGATTTCTTGGTCCCCAAGGCTTGAGACTCAGAGGCCACATTGTCCCTTCCGGCTCCTTCGTCTCTCATGGCCATCAGTCATCTTTGCATACCAAGGGCAGCACAAGAAGCGCTTCTCTGAGACCCTGAAGCCCTGCGGCCCTGGGAAGAAGGTCTCGTCCGTCTTCCGTCTTCCGTGCCGCCGGCCACCATCTCCGCTTCTCTGCCCACACTTCGCAACCAGGCCATCATCAGGGACTATCTTACCATGTGTGTGGCTGTTCAAACATCTCTAATGGCAATATCGATCATTTACTGAGTCCTTCCTTCGTAATTCCGTGCCCTGTGTGAGGCACTTTCCCATTTTTTTTTTTTCAGGACTAAAATATTTATTTTTACACTATAATTATCTACTAGAACCTAATTTCTACCTACAATAACCCTCATTTCAACCAAAGATAATCAAAGTAAGACCAATTTGTTTTCAAAATAGGTTCAGTCTCGTTAAACTTCACCTGATTATTTACATAAATTTAGTAAGAATAGTGATTTTCATATATGCCTTTTTATAGTCTGCTTTTCTTAAACTTTTAATGAACAATTTTATTTTAAAAATCTTTTTACTTTAATTTATCAGTATACAGTGTAGTTGATTTTTGTGTCCCTTCGTCAATTCCTCTCTCCCCTGCCCTCTCCCCTCCGTCCCTTTTCCTATACTATCTCTAAACTTCTCCCGGAGAATCACATTCAGTAAACTGGGATGGAGATCGTGAATCTCCTTTGTAAACAAACCGCCCAGGGGTTCTGATCTGGGCTGTCCCAACACAGATCGCATTTTAGAGAACACTGTCCTAGAGCACCTGCCACCAGTAGTTCGCTCGCTTTGATTTGCTGCCTTATGATGTACTCAGTTGCCCTGTGCTTGTCTTGCCTTTATACATAGATTGTAAACTCCCAGAAGAAAGAGGTCATGCTTTTACAGGTTTCTTTTGTGAAATATGAAAGCCCACCTGAGGGCTATGTATTCAGAAGGCAGCAATAAATATTTTTAGACGAATGGAAAGATGCATGAGTAAATGAGATTTTAGGGAGATTTTTGCTACTCACTTGTTAAGTCTTTTTCAGGCGTTTTCCACTGAGATAAGATTATAGAGATAATGATTATTAATACATTTGTTCATTTTTTGGGTAACGACTACTGTGGACTCTTTTCTTTTTCAGGGGACTTCCAGAATGGCAAGAGAGTGGGCCTCTCCGTATATCTTGGGGAATTTTTTGACATCCATTTGTTTGTCAATGGTACTGTGATGCAGGGGGCCCACAGGTAAGCCAGAAGCCCAGAATGTCTGAATTAGAAAGCACCTGGGGATCCCCTCGCACCCCACCCCCACATTTTTCAGATGAAGAAGCTGGGGCCCAGAGAGAGGAAGTAATGTGCCCAGAGGAAGCGAGCAGCAGGGCTGGGAGAGAGCCAGGTTTCCCGGCTGCTGCTCTAGGAGTCACTTTGCACCTGGTCTAAACGCTATAACACGGGGTTGCGAGGGACATGTGGAGGGACATCTAGGGAATGCACAAGAAGCCCACTTTTGAACCATTCCTCTGCCTTCCAGAGTCTCCATGCCCTACGCTTCCAAAGGGCTGTATCTAGAAACTGAGGCTGGGCACCACAAGCTGTCCAGTGAGGCCTATGGCTTTGTGGCCAGGATTGATGGCAGTGGAAACTTTCAAGTCCTGCTGTCACACAGATACTTCAACAAGACCTGTGGGCTGTGTGGCAACTTTAACATCTTTGCTGAAGATGATTTTATGACCCAGGAAGGTAAGGTTTTCTGAGATGCTGTTTCCCTGAAGTGTGGTTATGCCTTTTGCTTTCCTGCTCACAAACCTTCACTAACACACCTCCCCTGGCATTTAAGCCTCTCCATGACCTCACCTCAATTTATCTTGTGAACCTTGTCTTTTAGCATTTCTATGCAATGCTGAGACCTCTGGTCAAACCAGATCTTGGAGTGTCTCAAACCTGACCTTGTTCAACTTTGAATTCCCCATAGCAACTTACACATGGTAGATGGTTTGAGTAGAGAGCCTCCTGAGCTCACTCCCATGGCATGGCTGAAATCTATAAAGAGTGGTCCTCCCCACTGTCCAGAAAGACCAGTTTATGTGTGCATTCATGAGCAGTAGAAGGTAATATGGATAATGTAAAAACCACTATTAATCTTTAATTTTCTTTTGATATTTTGATGACATAAGCATTTAATCAGTGATGTTCCCTTGCAAAAGCTGAACATTTGTTCTTAAGTTATCCTTCTTCCTTATGACCCACCTAGCCTCTGATTAGTTGACTGTTCCTTTCATTGGACTGTGCCATGTTGGAAAATAGAAAGATCGTTTGTTTTTGTCTTCTCCAGCACTGATTTTTCAAACTTTTTGTTGTCCAATATATACACTTAAGTCTATACATTTTCCTCTAAATGCCACTTTAGCTGCACCACGCAAATTTTGATATGTAGCATATTTTCATTTTCATTTAGTTCTATGTATTTTCTAATTTCCATTTTAGTTATTTATTTTTGGCAGCTAGCCAGTACAGGGATCCAAACCCTTGACCTTGGTGTCGTCAGCACTGTGCGCTAACCAACTGAGCTAACTGGCCAGCCCCTAATTTCCATTTTGAGTTCTTTCTTAACCTATAGTGTGTTTAAAATTTGCAAATGTTTAGAATCTTAAAGTTACTTTCTTTTAACTAAATTACTATCTAAATTAAATTAGAAATTTGTGGAGACTTGCTTGTGGCCTAGCAATTTTTTGACATCCATTTGTCTATGGTACTGTGATGCAGTACTATTCTCTTTTTTTTTGCAATTGTTCTATGTTTATTTTTTTGCAGTTGTTCTCTGTATGCTCAGAAAGAATGCATTCTCTGTTTGGTGTTAAACTAAGTTTTTAAATCTGTATGTTTACTGCTTTTTGTCTGCTTCATCTACCATCACTAAGAGCTTTGTTAAATTTTTCTATAACGATGGTGAATCTGTCAATTTCTTCTTGTAATCTTCTCAAGTTTTGCTTTGTATATTTTGAACCCTATTATGTAACGACTCTCATCATTTGTAAAGTGCCTTAAAATCTGTCTAATATTAATATAGGTACTCTATACCTTTCTTTTGATTAGTGCTTGCTTCCATACTTTTAACCTTTCTGTGCGGTTTTGTTTTAGATGAGTCTCATACAAGCAGCACATAGCTAGATTTTATTACTTTTTTAAAGTCATATTTTCTGAGGTATAATTTAAATACAGTAAAATTCATTCAGTGTGCAGTTCTATGAGTTTTCACAAAAGTATCGAGTCATGTAATTACCACAATCAAACTATAGAAGTTTCATCACCCCCCAAATTCCTTGTGTCCCTTCGTAGTCGAACCCTTCCCCAGCTGTTCGCCCTTGGTAGCCACTGATCTTTTCTTTTCTTTTTTTTTTTTAAAAGATGACAGGTAAGGGGATCTTAACCCTTGGCTTGGTGTTGTCAGCACCACGCTCAGCCAGTGAGCAAACCGGCCATCCCTATATAGGATCCGAACCCGTGGCCTTGGTGTTATCAGCACCACACTCTCCCGAGTGAGCCACGGGCTGGCCTGATCTTTTCTTTTCTTTTTTTTTTTTTAAAAGATGACCCGTAAGGGGATCTTAACCCTTGGCTTGGTGTTGTCAGCACCACGCTCAGCCAGTGAGCAAACCGGCCATCCCTATATAGGATCCGAACCCGTGGCCTTGGTGTTATCAGCACCACACTCTCCCGAGTGAGCCACGGGCTGGCCTGATCTTTTCTTTTCTTTTTCCCTATAGTTTTGATTTTTCCCAAACTCACATAAATGTGATCATACAGTATTTAGAGTATTTTCAGCCTGGGTTCTTTCATTTAACACAATGCATTAGAGACTCATACATGTTGTTGCATGTGTCAATAGTTGGTTTCTATTATTGCCGAGGAGTGGTACACAATTTGTAATCCATTCCCCAGCTGAAGGACACTTCGTTGTTTCCAGTTTTGGTGAACAATGAATAAAGCCACTATAATCATATGTGTATAGACTTTCCCCCCTGTTTTTTATTGTTCTGTAATGCACATATTGTAAAATTTACTCTCTTAACCATTTTTATGTATATATAGTTCGGTGGTATTGAATACTTCCACATTGTTGTGCAGCCATCACCACCATCCATCTCCAGAACTCTTCATCTCGTAAAACTGAAACTCTATACCTATTAAGCAATAACTTCCATTCTCCTCTCCAAGCGCCTGGAAACCATCACGCTATTTTCTGTCTCTATGATTCTGATTACTCTTAGGTACCTCATGTAAGTGGAAGTGTACAGTGTTTGTCTTTTTGTGAGTGGCTTATTTCACTTTGCCTAATGCCTTCAAGATTCATCCATGTTTAACATATGTCAAAAATATTTTCTTTTTAAGGCTGAATAACATTCCATTGCATGTACATACCACACATTGCTTACCCATTAATCGATCGATGGACACGTGGGTTGCTTCCATGTTTAGGCTATAGTGAATAATGCTGCTATAAACATGCATGTACAAATACCTTTTCAAGACCCTGCTCTCAATTCTTTTGACTGTATACCCAGAGGTGGAATTGTGGGATCATATGGCAATTTTATTTTTAATTTTTTCAGGAACTACCATACTGTTTTCCACAGCAGCTATACCAGTTTACATTCTTACCATCAGGGCAATTTCTGTACATCCTTGCCAACACTTGTTATTTTCTGTTTTTTATTTTGATAGTTGCCATCCTAATACATGTGAGGTGGTATTCATGTATAGGTTTTTGTGTAGACACACGTTTTAATTTCTCTGGGTAAATATCTAGGAGTGGGATTGCCGAGTGTTATGATAAGTGCATGTTTAATTTGATAAGAAGCTGCCAAACTATTTTCCAAAGTAGCTATGCCATTTGCATCTCCACTGGCAACGTATAAATTTCAGTTTCTCTGAATTCTTGCCAGCATTGGTATTGTCAGCTTATTTTTTATTATCACAATTTTAATAGATGTATAGTGGTATCTCATTATATTTCATTATTATTATTTTAATGTATCATGATCTTTTCTGTCTTCTTCTTGTAGAGTTTTGCCTCTCTTCATTCATTTTGTATTAAACGTGTTTTTGATATCTTTGGGTTTAATCTTACCATCTTGTCTTGTGCTTTCTACCATCACTGCTTGTTCTATGCCACTTCTTTCCCTGCTACCCTCACTGCCTTCCCTACCTTGTTTGAATAAACCACTAAATTTGGCATTATTATTATAGCTTTACACAATCAGTGCTTGCCTAGATATGCCTTCGTGTTTAATAGATTCCTTGCTCATAATTTCTCCTTTCTTTTGGGTTCAATTTCCATTTTTCTTTCTTTTTTTTTTTTTTTCCTTGTTTACTGACCGGTAACAGGATCGCAACCCTCAGTGTCGCGCCTGCACCGGGGACCGGCAACGGGATCGCAACCCTCGGTGTTGCGCCCGCACCGCACTCAGCCAGTGAGCGGGAACTGGTCTCCACATGGGATCCGAACCCTCGGCGGGAGCGCCGCCGTGCTCCCAAGCGGCGCACTCTCCAGTGTGCCACCAGGCTGGCCCTCCATTTTTCTATAAAACAACCTTTAGTAGTTCCTTCATTCAGGGCCTGGTAGTGATAGCTGAGACAAATGCTCCCTCATTCTTCTATGATACTTTAGCTGGGTACAGAATTCTAGGATGACAGTCATTTCTCACAGTGCTTTGAGGATGGTATTCCACTGCTGCTGTTGAGAAGTATGTTGTTAGTCTAACTGTTATTTCTTTACAGATAATATGTCTTTATCTTTGTGCATATGTTATCTTTTTGTTTTTGGTATTCTGAAATTTTACTGTACTGTGTCCAGATATGGGTTTTATTTTTATTGTCTTGCTTGGGACTTATTGTGATTCAGATATCTCCTGTCTTTCCTCAGATTTAGAAAAATTTCAGTCACTCTTTTCCCTTCTGGAACTATTAGACATATGTTGAATACTTTCATTTCATCTTTTTTTCCTCTTTGCCTTAGTTGCATTTTTCTATCTCTTTACCCCTCTGTGTTGCTTTTTGGGCAAGTTGCTTAGATCAAGTGGTGTGCTCATGCTGGTTGGTGAGAACCAATTCTGTGCATCTCTTCCCAGCTTTGCATTGAGTAACATCATGTTGGTAGCTTAAAGGTGGCTATGGTGAGAGTATGTACACTAAAGAAATTAATACATGATGCATATGAGGGCTTTATTTTTTCCTGAAGAGCTGGCTTATCAGCACATCACTACTGAGATACATCTTCTAGTTCACTAATTCTCTCTCAACTCTGTTAATTTGCAGAAGATGTCTAATACTTCAATTGAGATTTCTTTTTATTTCATCGACTATATTTGTAATTTTAGAAGATAAATCTGGTTCTTTTTCTACTCTTATTTTTCTTCTTGTTTTGTTCTTTTATCAAATTTCAATTACTTCTTTATAGCAATAATTTTAGATATATTTGTTTTATAATCTCTATACAAAGATTCAATTATTTGAAGTTTTTGGAGCTCTAATCATGCTATTTTTGTGTCTGCTGACTCTTGCTTATAGTGGATTGTTTCCTATCGTTTATAATTTTGGATTGTGAGCTCATCTTTAGAAGGGTTTTATGTTAATTTTTAAAATGGAGTTAATGAATCTTACAAAAAGTATAAATCAGAATCTCAAATCTAGATGAGGGTTTTCCTACAGCTACAAATCTTCAGAGGAGACTTTCTTCCCCTCCTATCTAGAGCCCAGAGCAAGGAAACAAACTTTCTAACTTCCCTGTTTCTCAGGGTGGATTTTTGTTTCCTTTTTGTCTTTTTTCGTGTCCGGCAACGGATCGCAACCCTCAGTGTCGCGCCTGCACCTCGCTCAGCCAGTGAGCGGCCGGTCTGTATGTGGGATCCAAACCCTCGGCGGGAGCGGCGCTGCGCTCTCAAGCAGCGCACTGTAGCAGTGCGCCACCGGGCCGGCCCTCTCAGGGTGGATTTTATCTTGTCAACTTTCTCATGAAAGGTATAGTCCTTCAAGGGTCCTAGCTTCACCGTGGTCTCAGGTCTCCCTCCCCACATCTTACAGATCCAAGACTCATTTTAATCTCTACAGAGTTTGTAAAATCCAAGCCTTTGGGCTGGCAAGATTACTGCCCTCACTGTAGCACTCTGTAGCCAGAACATCATCACAGTTGCTAGTTCTCTTTTCAATTTTCTCTCCTTAGTCTTCCCCTCATCCTTCTTCCCTTCCTCCTCCTTTTCGTCTCTTGGAGTTCCCTTTACTGTTTTTGTGAGATCAGCCATGAATTCAATAGGACATTTGTCTATAGTAGTGGCACAGTTTTCAGATTTTTCTAATTGCCATATTGCTAGAAATGGAAGTTCCAGACCTAGAATCTCTCTCTTTCTTGTTCTAGGCTTTAAGGTTTAAAAAACTAAAAATGGGATCTATGCTATGAGGAAGAAGGTGGTGTTTGCTGGCGAGAAGTTAGGGCTCTGGTGATACTGTGGGAATCATCCTCAGAGGACTGGGGGTTTAGTTCTCCGTGGTTGGTAAAGACTCAGCGGTATTTGTCCCTAGTTAACCTTTCTCCCTGACTCCTGGGAGGCTGCCCAGCTTGGCTTTCACTCTGCCTCTCAGAGCTTTCTCTGAGCAAGAATATTTATAATCCCATCTACTGGACAGTCTTATGTCTCATTTCAGATTTAGCCCAAAAAAGTTTGCTTCATAGAAGGTCAGGGCTGGAAAGGATCTCAGAGGCCACCTGGTCTAGCCTCTCATTTATAAGTGAGGAACTGGGCACAATGAGATGATAGGACCAGCCCAGATCACACGGAGAGAAGGAAAGACCTTTCCCCACTCAATGCAAAGCTCTTCTCTGCTCGTCCTCACTATGGTTTGTTAGGAAGTGTCCCAGCCTATGGGGTGGAGTGACAGTATCCAGAGAGTGTTTGTCACAATGACAGGCACACAGCAGGCACTCCACAGATTCAAGTATCCTCATTGCCAAGTTAGGTGCCCCCCTCCCCCAATTGTTTCCTTCCCTTTGGCTTCTCCCACGTGTTAGTTTTTTGTGGCTCCCAAATTTCCACAGACTTAGTGGCTTAAAACAACAGAAATGTATTCTCTTACAATTTTGGAGGTCAGAAGTCTGAAAAGCAGGTGTTGGCAGGGCCACGCTCACTCCGGAAGCTCTGGGGGAGAATCTGCTCCTTGTCTCTCGTAGCTTCTGCAGGTGTCCCCTGACTTGTGGCTACAATGTCCCAATCGCTGCCTCTGTCTTCACATGGCCTTTTCCTCTATGTATGTCTTCATCTGATTGCCCTCCACCTATCTCTTACAAAAATATGTGTTATTGCATTTGGGACCCAGCCAGGTAATCCAAGAGCAGCGCTTCTTCTCAAGATCCTCAGCTTAATTTCATCCTTTGCCATATAAAAAATATGTACAGATTCCAGGAATTAGGAAGTAAATATGTCTTGGGGGGAGGTGGGGCATTTTTTCTGCTTATGCAACCCCAGATGCTAACTGACTATACTTCTGAGGCCTCACTTTTCTTTTCTTTTCCCAGGGATAGTTTATTTCCTATTCTCTAGGGGATTATTTGAACTTGAAACATGCTTTACTCCTCCAGGCCTGGCTACGCACAGGACCATTCATCCCAGTACTATGAAGGCAGCAGTGTTATTAGGCAGTTGCTTTGTACCAGGCCACCTTGGCCCCTGAGGCCCTCCCAGTCCGTGTGGGTAGCGGCAGTAGCGTGAATGCTGTACGTGTTAGAGCACAGAGGCCACGACAGCCCGGAGGCTGCAGTGACTTGGGGGCTTAGGTTCCACTCACATCCTTACCTTCGTTTTGCAAAAATATTTTGAGCATCTACAATCCACTAGATTAGAATCTAGAGATAAGAGACAGAGCCTGTGCCCTTAATTAAGGGGGTCAAAGTTGAATGGGGATGAATATAAGTAAAAAGAATTCCAGCCCTAAGGTGATGAGAGATTTGGTAGAGGGAAGCCCAGGGTGCTGCAGGAGCATAGAGAAGGGGCTCACCGGAGGGGCTGGGGGCGGAGGAGGGAGTGGCACGGAGCTGGCTCAGAAAGGCTCCCTGGTGGAAGTGGTCTTGAGCTACCACTGGAAGACTGAATGGGGACAGTAGAGGCAATAGGGGGAGGAAAAGGCTCTGCACAGAGGGAGAGAGGCATCGACCTCATCACCTCTCACCCGTCCTGCTGCCCATCACCCACCTGACATTGCTGCGCCCCCATGCCTGTGTCCTGGGGTGCTACGCTGAGTGCTGTACAACGCGTACTCCCCACCGTGAATGCCTGTTGTCTAATCTAAGAGGAGTTTGATTCGGGTAACAACAGACCTAGAGTTTTCACCTGGGATGGGCATAACTGAAGCATCACGTTCCTAAAACTTTGCTCCACAGGGACCTTGACTTCGGACCCCTACGACTTTGCCAACTCCTGGGCCCTGAGCAGTGGGGAACAGCGGTGCAAACGGGCATCCCCTCCCAGCAGCACATGCAACACCTCCTCTGGGGACACGCAGAAGGTGGGTACAGTGGCAGACTGACAGAGCCAACTCTTCTTCTTGAGCTGCTTATTAAGCCAGATGAATTTCAAACTGAGCACACTCATGGTATTATGTGCAGTGAGGAGGAGAAGGATTTTTATAATCTTTCTTTTATTTCCACACTTAACAGTTCTGTTGTTGGCTGGTGGTTCTCCCTTTCCTGTCCCCCATGTACACTAGACAGGGGTGAAATTAAGTCGGGGGGGTGCCTCAGTTGGTGAGGTGGGGTAGGTGTGGCCATGTATGTACCTCTAACATGGAAACAGGCCTTTGAGAGCTTATTTTATTTTGTCTTACTTTATTTTGCAAACACAGGCCAGCACAGAGCAAGTGCTTGGCAGATGTCCCCTCTCCTTTAGAGTGCAAAGGGATAGTCTCATTTACACATACGAAGTGGGAGGTGCAGACAGGATTTTCAAGTGGAGAACCTGATACCAAGGCCGGGTTGAGGAGGGAGACTGGGTGCTTTGTCTCCCGGAGACAAATGTTGGCGGTGGGGGAGGGGAGTGCAGGAGGACCTCGCTGGCTCTCCAGGGCACCTGTTTGTGGCTCCAGCTGTGTACTCGCTACTCACTTTGTTTCCTGGGTGCATTAAACTCCTTACTAACCAGTGTCCTGGGAGCAGCTTAAGAAATTATATACCAAGTTCTTAGTGTTGGGCTGAGGCCCCGAACATGCCAGACCTCCCAGAGGCACAAACTCCTTCCAACTCGGAACTCCTGGTTTCGATTGTTTACCTGCCTGTCCTCAGCCAATCGGATTGTGTTTGCCCATGAAGGTGGGGGGGGGGCTCCCTCCCTGGCTGGGAAGCACAATGACTCCTCTCCTGGGAGGTGATTAACATGGTCTTCTGAATTGTTCTCAGCCTGTAGTCCCGCTGGGCTCCTGGGTTCAGAAGTCAGGTCTGGTAAATGGGGCATCATCTACAGTGTTTGCCACTGTGGCTCCAAGGGCCATTCGGAGTGGCAGAGTGTTCTGTGTGGGGGAGATGGCATTGACCTGAGAACTTTCTTTGATAGCCGCCGGAATCTATTCCTCCACTTCTTTGGAGCTTTCTGTCTTTCCACAGAGTCAGCTCATTCTGATAGCCAGGTCATGTTACTTATACCTAGGGGATGAATGTTTCCTTGTTATGCCAACAAAACCCAGTGCCTCTCTCCCCTGGGACTGATAATGGCTTGTTTGGTTGCATGCAAATTTGCAGTTTTTTCAGTTTCTCAAACTGAGGGCAGGACTGCTGGAGTCTGGAGCATGAAGCTATAAATGCTTAAATAACTGATGATAATTTGCAGGTAAATCTACTACATAATGCACATTTTAGAAAGAAAGATTCTTAGGTCACTTTTTGTTTGTTTATTTTAAATTTGGCCAGTCTGGGGGATATCAGGAAGGGCTGAACCTTCTGAAGAGATCTTGGCTTTGTTCTGTTGTCCTATCTGCAGCATGAAGCTCCACGGTGCTAGACTTGGGCTGCAGCTGGCCCAGACAGTGCTCTTGCTAATTAGAAAAAGGCACCCCTTCCTCAAGACGCTTTACCACCTGCTGGGAAACTGCCATAATAAACATTAAAACTGTAGATATAATGTACATATATGTGTACGATTTCTACCATGTGAACAGTAGTCACTCAATGTGTTGCCAGATATGCTGTGTGGCCTGCAGCGCGACCTCGATGGCCTTGGCCTGGCTTCCCCTGGGAGGTAAAGTCACTGTAGTCATCATCACCATCCTCAGCTCACCTCCCCCAGAGTGGCAAGACCATCTCTGGCTTTTGCTGCTGCCATCAGAATGTAAGGACGCTTTCTTGCCTCTGGCCCCAAAAGCCCTCCTGTATATCTCCTCAGAGTTTGTCCTCAAGACCATCAGTCTTTACTGAGAAACTGAGTACATCTTGTTATTGCTCAACCTGCCAGTCAATTGTCCACCAGCAGCACCAACCTCAGACAGGTGTCTGGAGCAGAAAATTTATTTCATCCATGTTAGGAATCTCAGGCTCATAAGAAGTCAAGAGCTAGATAAGATTCTAGAAGATATCTAGTTCACCCCCCCCCACCCCCCCACTGCATGAATACTCTCTGCAAACTGTAACCAGACAGACAGGTTATGCTGTGATCTTGACTTTAAGAGTCTTTGAGACGCCCTTTGGATCTTTCCAGCTGCCTTGTGGAGCTCAGCCCTAGGCAGCCCTCTTTGGCTCCCTGAGAAATCCCTCCTTTCATTTTATGCCCACTTGAAGCTTTTGCACTGTCCCTTAGTGTCCCTGAATACTGGTGAAGCAAGGTCTTTCTTGAGTGGTTTCTTCAGGTCTGATTCAGGAGCTTTCATCCCACTCTGCGCCCATCCATCACCTAACAGCCCCAGACTTCCTGGTTTCCACTGATCTCTGAACTTGGAGTTTATTAGGTGAACACAGTCCTTATTTTCTTTTGCTGTCCGCGTCTGCACATTTTCTCACCTCCCCGCTTATCCTGCAGAACTCTCTTCCCCTCCTCTGGAACAGCACGCTGTTTACCTGTAATTCATTTCCCCCTAGGAAATCACCCGCTCCGCTTGAGCTAATTGTAAACACTCATGTTACCTTTGAGTGACAATACCATGTCTCAATAGCCCAAAGAGACACAAAATACCCGCTCTGTTGGGGACAAAGCAATTCACTCTTCATAATCCTCAATAAATATCACCCAAGCCTTTTATGTGCAAAGGATGTACTCAGCTCTTTTGATTATTTCTGCTTGGAGCTGCGCCAGAAGGGGAGCTCATGTTCAGCACAGAGGACCAGGCTGAGGTGTTAAGAGCACTGGCAGAGCTGGAGCTCAACGTCCAGGTCCACTCCTGTCCTCCTGCTTTTTCTCCCTGCCTCTTGCATTCATTTAATTGGGTGACCTGGCTGGAATAGACTTTTCTTAGAAATTGGGTGGAATTTTTTTACCTTCATTTGCTTGGTAGAATAGTCGTGATTCTTAGAGACAACTGTGGGGGAAGAATCTAGCCCAGGAAAGATCAATAACTCCCAAGGAAAGACGCTTGTAAGCCAGGATCCCTGGGGAGTTAGTTGTTGGATGATAGCACTGTGACCTGGTTTTATATACAGGGTGCCCAACACCTATACACCCCAGTGATGCTTAGCTCAGAGTTGGGGTTTGAACACAAGTACAAACATACCTTAATCCCTTCTGCAGAGAGAGAGCCGCTCCAGGTCTCTCTTTCTTGAGATGGGTTAGGGAATGAGGGCATATTTCATGTGCTTTACCAGGGCCCGAGAATCCGGCGTGCAGTCCCTGCTTTTGACCAGTTCTGTGTGTCCTTCTGTAAGCTGCTTTCCTGCTCTGTGTAGGAGCCAAGGGAGACTTTTCTGTCAACCCCTTGCAGGTTCTCTGAAAAAATCAGCTGACAAACACAGATTAATAGGAAAAAAGGCATAACAAATTTTTATTTTATTTTACTTTATCAATATACAATGTAGTTGATTTTCGTGTCCCTTTACCGATTCCTCTCTCCCTCCTCCGTCTCTCCCCTCCTACCCATCGACATCGTATCTGTTCACTTGTCTTAACAGGTTCAGGGAATTGTGATTGTTGTGTCTTCTTCTCTGCAATGTAGTTGATTTTCGTGTCCCTTTACCGATTCCTCTCTCCCTCCTCCGTCTCTCCCCTCCCACCCATCGACATCGTATCTGTTCACTTGTCTTAACAGGTTCAGGGAATTGTGATTGTTGTGTCTTCTTCTCTGCCCCCCCCATTTATTTGTGTATTTATTTATTAATTTATTTTTAGCTCCCACAAATAAATGAGAACATATGGTATTTCTCTTTCTGTGCCTGACTTATTTCACTTAATATAATTTTTTCTAAGTCCGTCCATGTTGTTGCAAATGGCAGTATTTCATTCTTTTTTATAGCAGAGTAGCATTCCATCGTGTAGATATACCACATTTTCCACATCCACTCATCTGATGATGGACATTTGGTCCAATTTGACTACAACATGTCTTGGAGAGAACCTTTTTGGGTTGAATATGTTTGGGGATCTTTGAGTCTCCTGAATCTAAAGATCTGTCTCTTTCCCTATACTTGGGAAGTTTTCTGCCATTATTTCATTGAATATATTTTCAATGCCATTTCCTTTTTCCTCCCCTTCTGGAATAATATTTGAGGGCTTAAGGTTGTCTGTTATCTCTCTTAGATTTTCTTCAATGTTTTTAATTCTTTTTTCTTTTTTTCTGTCTGCCTGTGTTATTTCAAACAGCCCATCTTCAAGGTCAGAAATTCTCTCTTCTGCTTGTTCTAGCCTGCTGGTTAAACTCTCTGTTGTGTTTTTTATTTCATTGAATGAATCCTTCAGCTCTGCAAGCTCTGCTATACTCTTTTTCAGGGCATTGATTTCTTTGTACATTTCTTCTTTCAGGTCCTGTATACTTTTCCTCATTTCATTGTGTTGTCTAGTTAAGTTTTCTTGTATCTCATTTAGTTTCCTTAGAATTGTTGCTTGAAATTCCTTGTCAGTCATTTCAAGGACTTCCTGTTCTGTAGGATCTAGAGCTTGAGAGTTATTATTACCCTTTGGTGGTGTGGTATTTCCTTGATTTTTCATATTTCTGGTGTCTTTCCTTTGGTGTTTAGTCATTGTGGCAGTGGATTTCATTGTCCACTCTTTTGACCCTAATGTCTGGTTAGGATCCTGCAGGGACTGCCAATTTGGCATGGCTGCCTTGGTGCCTGTGGGTGGGAGGCTCGGGCCTCTCTGGGCTGCGGGGACGGGCCTGGGCTGGGAGTCCCGCAGCAGCGCCTACCTGTTCTGATGCAGGTGGCTCGGGGCCCTGTGGGCCTGGCGGCTTTAGGGCCCCTCTGGGCAGCGTGCAGTGGCCTGGGCTGGGATTCCAAGGCATAACAAATTTATTTGATCATAGTTCTATGTGACAGGGGAGCCTTCAGAATGAAGACCCAAAGATATAGGAAAACTGTTCACATTTATGCTCAGGTT